ACAAAGAAAGATGTTCGACCTTTTCCAACTCTTAGTTTATTTCTAATTTCTCTCCCAAGGAAAATCATCTTTGGACTGGGTTGTTCTCATTGCTAATAGGAAGCTAAAATCCAAGATGAATAGAGAGAAGCTCAGAGAGTACTTAGCTGTCCTTGATGAGTTCAAGTGGTCAGACTGACAAAGGATGGACATCTTAGGGAATTGAAAGAACTGACAGATGTGACAGCCGAGCCACTGCCAGAGAACTCAGAAAGATCACACAAAACAGGTGCCACCAGGCTGGAGAAAGGCAAACACTGGCCCTATTAAATTAAAAAAAAAAAAAAAGGAAATCTACAGACTATAAATCAGGGAACTTGATGTCAGTACCTGGCAAGACTCTAGAATACATGACTAAAGTTATGGCGAGTAAATGTCTAGAAAAGTATTTCAGGGTTCCAAAGAGAAAAGATCTTGCCAAACTGACCTTATTTCCTTTCTGGACTAGTAGATTAGAGAATTCTATAGGCATAGTTTTCCTAGATTTCAGAAAAGTATTTGAAAAAGCCTCCCCTGCTGTATTTGTAAACAAGATTGTGAGATAGAAGCCAATGATAATAAAGTTTAATAGTTTTGGAACTGGTTGAATCCCTGGACCCAAAGCATCATCATCAATGGTTCAATTGTCGACTTGGAAGAAAGAAGTGTCGCTAGCATAGTGCCCCAGGGATCCACTCCTAGGAACACCCTGATGCCATATACCAATTTTATCTTGAATGAAAAACATAGAGGGTCAGAGGTGCACGCATACACAAACACACACACACACACACACACACACACAGAGTGACAAAGTCAAAAGCTAGGAAGATTTCAGCAGGGCTAGAACATTGAACCAAACCTTGAGAAGATGAAATTTAGGGAGTCAAGTCAATAGCCAACAAGCATTTATTAAGTGCTTACTATGTGCCAGGCACTGAGTGCTGGAGATACAAGCAGAAAAGAAAAAAAAAGTTCCTGAATTCAAGAAACTTCTGTTTTAATGGAGTAAGAAAATATATCAAAGGAAGATGAAAGGGGAAGGGGAGTGGAGGAGGAAGGAAGATGAAGGGACCCAGCTCTGAGGACCATAGTAGAAAAAGTCCTCGAGAACTGGACTGGAGAGGAATGAAGACCTGGTGGACCTGAGTTCAAATCCAGCCTCAGCCATTTACTGGCAGTGTGACCCTGGGCAAGCCACTTAACCCTGATAAGAAAAAAGAAAGAAAGAAAGAAAGAAAGAAAGAAAGAAAGAAAGAAAGAAGAAAGAAAGAAAGAAAGAAAGAAAGAAAGAAAGAAAGAAAGAAAGAAAGAGAAAGGAAGGAAGGAAGGAAGGAAGGAAGGAAGGAAGGAAGGAAGGAAGGAAGGAAGGAAGAGAAAGAAAGAAAGAAAAGAAAGAAGGGAGGGAGGGAAGGAAGGAAGGTATGAGTTGGAGTAATGGCTCTTGAGGTGCCTTCTAACTCTGAGTTGTGTGATTCTTTCATAACTTAGCCCAGTTCAACAAATACATGCCCACTGCTTGCATCAAACTTTGCTGGCCTTCTAAAAGAGCTACTAAGATGACAAATGGCACAGCCCCTGCCTTCAAAGAGCTTGTAATCTAATAAGAGGAATGACATAGATTGTTGTTGTTGTTGTTGTTGTTGTTGTTGTTCAGACCCATGATTTCACTGGGAGAGGGAACTCCTGGTTAGGAAATGCCCTCTGCCACTGCAGAGCCCAATGCAGACTCAAAACCATTCTGCAAAGTATAGTCTTATACTTATAGCAGGAGCTCCTGGAAGCCCAGGTTCCCTTCATAGCCTAGGTCAAGGGTGGCCTTACCTGATTCCCACAGTTGTTAATTCTCCTCTCCCCATCACTATCTGTTTTGTATATATCTCACATCTACTTATCTGTAAATGTAGCATATCCTCCTTGTAGAAAATGTAAGCTCATTGAGGGCAGGGACTGGGTTGTTTGGCTGGTTTGTTGTTGTTTGGGTTTGGTTTGGTTTGGTTTGGTTTGGTTTAGTTTTTCTCCTTCATACCTAGCACAGTGACCGGCATTGATTGACTGGAAAATTGGCTGGGACACTGAAAGCTGAAGTGATTTACTTGTCCAGGGTCACATAACCTGTGTTTACCAGACAGAACTTGAAGCTAGATATTCTTGACTGCAAGACCAGCCCTCTATCCATGCTACATCTCACTATCTCTCAAGATGTACATAAATATTATGGGGATAAGGAGAGGGACTAGACCCATGATTTCATTGACATAGGGAACTCCCAGACAAGGATACTCCACCAATGCAGGTTGGCATCTTCTCTGCCATTTATAAGTCTTAAAGAGTTGCCTAGGATGCTGAGAGATTGTGATTTGCCCAAGGTCAAACAGACAGTTTAGGTCAGAGAGTCCAATTTGAGCTTTGATCTTCCTGACTTTGACTAGCCCTCTATCTACTACATCTCCCTGCCCTGCCTCTTGAGACACACATCATTGTTTTACAAGGCAAGATGTGGTAACTACAAAGGAGTGACCCCCACAAAATGCCAGGAAAAAACTCAAGAAGGAAAGGTGATTTACAGCTAGAGTTCCTAGGCTCACAGCTCTAGTGCTCAGAGGATTTTAGAAGTCATCAAATCCAGTTGAAAAGTGACAGAGCTGGAATTCAAATTAAGGTCGTATGATTCTCTAAGTCAGTCCTCAAGTCAGAGAAGGTTCGCAGAGATGGTGGTATCTGAACAGTGTGGAAGGAAAAGAGATTTTGAGGGACAGAACTGCAGGTTCTAGTGGACATGGTAGTAAAAGGGGCAGCCATTCTAGATATGGGTTCCAGCATGAGTCTACAGGTATATAGACAAACCCTGGAGAGGACTGAATGAGAACAGAAAACAGGGAGGACACTAATTTGACCAAAATAGTCCATGAAAGTGAGTAATTAGGCTGGAAAGGCAGGTTGATGCCAGATTTTCAGGGACCATGATAGAACATTTTTATTTAAGCCTATGCACAATAGAGAGTCATTGAAAGTTGTTTGGTTTTTTTGTTTTTTGGTGGTGGTTTTTTTTTTAGCAGTCGCAACATGGCATGGTCAAGCCCATGCGTTCAAAGGACTATTATGCATTAATCTAGCAGCCCTGTGAAAGCTGAATCAGAGAGGGGAGAGAACAAAGAGAAACTGAATTAGGAAGTTCTTTCAGCAGTCTTAAGGTTCTCTATCCTAGCAGTTTAGCAGCAGAAATGGACAGGAGGAAAGCAAATGTTAGCTCCATTGTGGAGGTAGAGTCAACAGAAGACCGATGAGCCAGGGTAGTAGAGTGGATAAAAGGCATGGACTTGGAAGTCCTGGGGTCAAATCCCACCCTGGACACTTTGCTAGCAGCACGACCCTGGACATGTCACTTCATGTCTCTGGGCCTCAGTTTCCTTATGTGTAAAATGAGCAATTGAAGTCAACAGTTTCTAAAGGCCATTCCAGCTATAAATCTGTTCTCTTTTGATCCTGACTGGTTGGATGGGATGGGGAAGGAGACTGAAGAGTCACAGGCGACTGAATTGTTGAATCCATGGGGAGTGGGAATATGGTGGAGCCATTAGCAAAAATAGAGAGGTCAGGATTAGAGGAGGTATTTGTCTCAAGTTAGGATGTGCTAAGTTTTAGGTGGGGAGGAGGGCCATCCAGGTGAAGACTTGACATGCCACCTCTAAGAGGTCAACAGCCCCTGATTTGGACAGAGGTGATGCTGACCAGTCATCCACCATGAGGACCAGAACAGTTTCAAGTCTGGTATGAGGGATCAGTTTAGACATCAGAAGGAATTTCTTGAAAGAAAGGATAGATGAGTGAGGAAGGCTAGAATCTGCCATGGTCTTGTCCATGAGAGGCCTCATGGAAATTAACCTGAATACAAATCTAAGTGAAATCACATCTTTTCTCTCTATCTTTTCACCTCCATGGTTTGGGGAAATTGAATAAATATAGTTTTAACTTAAAAATCCCCTTCCTGATCCTTGGGATCAATGACCCCAGCAAGCTTAAGAACCCCAAATATCTGGTGTGGGGGAAGGAGCTCTCCTCCAAGCTGGGCCAGGGCTACTTGGCCTAAAGGTGAGGATTGGATAAGAATCTCAGTGTTGGGGGCAGCTAGGTGGCACAGTGGATAGAGCACCAGCCCTGAAGTCAGAAGGACCTGAATTCAAATCCGACCTCAGACCAAATACTTGACACTTACTAGCTGTGTGACCCTGGGCAAATCACTTAACCCCAATTGCCTAAAAAAAAAAAAAAGAATCTCAGTGACTTCAGAGACATCTAGTCCAAATTACACCCAAATCAAGGGCTTCCTATATCATAGCTCTGACAAGTGGTCATCCAGCTTTCACCTCCAGCAGAAGGAGAATGCATTACCACCATTCCACTCTGGGACAACTCTAATTGTTAGGAAATTCTTCCTTATATTAGTCAAAGTCTGCATTTCTGCAACTTCCCCTCCATTCCTTCTAATTCTGCCCTCTGGGCGAAGCAGAATAATCTAATCTTTCTTCCACATGACAACCCTTCAGATACTTGAAGACAGCAATCCTGTCCCTGCCTAAGGGGCTGCCCTCGCCCAGGTGAAAGGCTGTGAAGAGCTGTGATCTGTCTGGGTTCCCAGAAACCTAGTCATTATGGGGGGCCTGGAAATCTCACACAGGGCCTAGGGTGGGTTTTGCTCAGGTCTGGGTTGAGGAACCAGTCGGGCACTTGCTATGTGGTGAGAATTCACACTATGCCTTCTTGTTCCTGTCTTTTGCCCCCTTCTGGGGTGGTAGTCAGGGTTCCCCTTAAAACCTCAGCCTCTGCTTGGGAAGACGGAAAGCAAGGTGGCCTAGGTGTAACTGAAAACCTGTGCTGTCTGGAAGTGGTGCCATCGTGCCACCCCCGCTACTCTCACAAACATTCCCCCATCAACCCTGGCTCCCACCCCAACCTCCCTTGTCTCTCTCTGCCTTCCACAGCCACCAGGGAGTCAGCCTTTGTCCACGCCATTGCCTCAGCTGGTGTGGCCTTCGCCGTGACCCGCTCCTGCGCTGAGGGCTCCGCTGCCCTCTGTGGCTGCGACACCCGCCACAAGGGCTCCCCAGGTGAAGGCTGGAAGTGGGGGGGCTGCAGCGAGGACGTGGAATTCGGCGGCATGGTGTCCCGAGAGTTCGCCGATGCCCGAGAGAACCGGCCTGACGCCCGCTCAGCCATGAACCGTCACAACAACGAGGCAGGGCGACTGGTAGGTGGAGGCCTTGGGTTGGCCCCTGTGCCAGCCTCCTCCTCTCAGTCTCCTTTACTCCCTCCCCCACCTTAACCCTTTCTTCTGTTGTTCTCTAAATCACTCTTCTGTCCTCCTGAATCTCATCCATCTGGCTTTCCACCTCCACCCTGACCCCCTCTCATTAGTGCCCAGTTCCAACACCATCCTCTCATTTTCCCTAGTTTTACTTCCCCCAATTCCCTCAACTCTCTCCTGTCTACTCACTCCCTTATCTCTCAGTCCCCCACCACCCATTTGCTCTCAGCCTTCCTTATCTGCTTCTCTCTCCCTAGGTATTTCACTTTTCTCTACTCTTCTGTCTCCCCCTGATCTGACCCCCCTCTGAGGCTCACAGGGCCAGAGGCCTGTCCTAAGGGACCTTCCTTAGGGCCTCTAAGAACAGTGAAATCCACCATTTTTTCTGTCTTCTTGGCCCATATTTAACTCCCTGAGCTTCCATGGCTCAGTGGGTGAGAAGGTGGAGAGATGGTCTCTTGGCATATGTTCACTGGTTGGCATTTCCTCTGTCTAGACAACTCTTAGAGGTGGCATGCCAAGTCTCTACCTGGATGCCACCCTCCCCCACCCCAAACTCAACATGTCCCAATCTGAAACTAACAAGTCCCCTAAATCTGACCCATGAGCCTTGAACCCTGAGCTGGGGAATGGAGGCAGGACAGTGAAGTAAATAGGAGAAAGGGGAAATGAAGGAGTCACTGGGTCAGTCATAGCTAAAGGAGACTTGAGTGACAGGAAGATTTTGGAAAATGTGGTCCCACCCTCCACTCCCCAAAGTTCTCTTCAGGAAGTCCCCTCCCTTGAATTTAACTAGCTTTGGGATTCCCATCCCTTGCCCAGACTGAGGGAGAGACCTGCCTCTGGGCTCTCCCAACATTGGTCACCACTCCCTTCTTAGCAATGAGCCTCAGAGAGGTTCCTTAACTTGCCCAGAGTCAAACAGTGAGATAAATCCCTGGGAAGGCTTTTAAAGGATTAATAAATCAAATCATTGTCTTCATTGAGCACCTGTTCTTTCTTCATCTATACCATGGGAGGTGAAGAGGGGGGATAGCAGGAATAGAGGAAGCAGAAGGGTAGCCCCAGTCTGGTTGGGAAGCCACAACCACCCACCCACAAAATAGAAAATGGTATGAGAGAGTGTATCAGTGAGGGTGGGATTACTCAGACATAGTGTCATGGGAGCTCAGGTGAGGGAGAGAGCCCCATGGGCTGAAGTGGTCAGTGAAAGCTTCCCAGAGGAAGCTTTGTCACCCTCCTCCATGTCCTCTCTGTCCTAACAGATTAGGAACAGGTGCCCAATTCAACAAACAGTTAGTAAGGGCCTGTTTGTGTATAAACTACTGCACTGGGCCTTGGGGAACTTAGGAAGGTGAAATAAGGCACCATCTCAGTGTCCAGGAGCTATAATCCAGGAAGGGAGCGTCAAGGTGTACCCTGCAAAGGAAGCAATCCTACGTCCAAGTGTAGGTTCATGAGGTCATGAGTTAGAGCTGCAAGGGACCCCAAAGGTCATGGAATCTAATCATCCCTACTCTCCACTTTATAAATGAGTCACTGAGGTAGATAAAATTATGTAACAGAGCTGGGGTTTGACACCCTACTACCAGCACCCTAGTCCTCTGATTTCAAATCATGAGCCCTTTCTACTGAGCCTAATTTCATAGAAGAGGAAAATAAGGCCCAGGTAGGTAACTATAGGATTTATTACTAAACGGGACCTTAGGAATGATTGAGTCCAGCTCTCCTCCCCTCTGCCTCACATTTTATAGAGGTTAAGTGTTTTTCCCACCATAACACAAACCAGCAAGTGTCTCAGCCAGGATTTGAACCCAGGTCTTCTGACTCCAAATACAATGCTCATTATATTCTACCATGCTGCCATAGTCGTACCTCACCAAGTGTTGGGCCTGAAATTAAAGGGTGTTCAGGGCAATGTAAGCATTAAAAGCTGCTTGGGCAAAGTTATGGAGATAGGAAAGTTTGAGATGTATTTATGAACTGTTGTATCAGCATGAACTCAATGTACAGGCAGTGTGACAGAAGGGGCAAGAATGATGGAGCTGGGAGGACTTGGGTTCAGATCTTGGCTTTTCCACTTCTACTGCCTGTATAACTTCTGACAAATCTCTGGGCCTCAGTTTGCTCATCTGTAAAATGGGAGAAGGTAGCAGAGGAGAGGGGATTAGACTAGACAGTACTTTCTAACTCTTAAGTCTATGATTTACCCAGTTTGAGTAGATCATAGAGTATATGAAGGGAAGAAACTGAAAAGATTAGTCAAGACGAGACAGGGACTTTGAATGCCAAGTTAAGGAGTTTAGACTTCATCCTTTAGAAAGCTGAGAGCCTCAAAAGATTTCTAATCAGAGGAGTAGATTAAGAGCTGTGCTTTACAAAGATTCGTCTAGCAGCTGTGTGCAGGCTTGACCAAATGGGGAGAAGCTAAAGGCGAGGAGACCAGTTGGAAGGCTGCTACAATAGTCCCAAGGGCCAGAGGGAGCGAGGGGAGGAGAGCTATCTGGAAGATGCTGCAGGGCTAAAAGCAACAGGACTTGGTGACAGCTTGCCTGTTGTGTGGTGAGAGAAGGAAGAGCCAAAGGTGATTCGGAGGGTCTCCAGGAGGGGAACAGGGAAACAAATTGCAAGGGGCTGAAAGGTGAGTGGGTGTCAGAGACGGAGGGGCAGCAAGTATAAACAGCACTTTCTAAGAGTTTAGTTGGTGAAGGGGTAGAGGATCCAGTAATAGCTTCAGGGAATATCAGGGTCAAGGGAAAGAAAGGGAAAACCTGAATATGTCCATAGGCAGCGGTGGGTGAGCCAATAGAATGGGAGAGCTGAAAGATCCGAGTCCCTGCAGGCCCAGAGAAGAGGAAGGGGGCTTAAAATAAAACAGCAAGGATTGTGGGCAGACATAAGAAAAAACATTCACACTGTCTCTGGAATAGGGGGCCAGGCAGAGTGTGGAGACCACGAACAAAGTCAAGGGAGCTGGGAAAAAGAATTGGGGAAGATGGATAGATAGCAGGATAACAGCTGGAAGGGACCCAAGAGATCATCCTAGCTGGTACAGCCCCTTCATTTGGCAAAGGAGAAAACTGAGGCCCAGGGTGGAGGCAGTGCCTTGCTCAAGCTAATATAGCTAGTGCAATAGAGCCAGGATTCCAAGGCCTAGCTTCTAGCCCCACATCCAGCCCTCTTCCCATTGGTTTGGAAGTCTCCCACAACTTTCCCACAACACCCACAACTTTCCTTGTAGGTACAATACACATTCCAGCCTCTGCAGAGGATGGTATTGTCATTCTATTCTGCCACCATCAACATAATTAAGGCAAAGAGACAGAACGAGGCCTGACGGGAGTCAGATGCCTGGTGTACAAATCCTCACTCTTCTGCTCACTACTTGTGTGACCTAACACAAGTCACTTCACCCTGGACCTCAGTTTACTCATCTGAAAGATGAGGAGTTTGGATTCATGGGTCTCTTGGGCCTCTTCCAGCTCTCAGTCCCAATATCCTATGTCTATTCTGCTCCCCCCCCACACACACACTGTACCCCCACTAATATACGTACATACACACCCTCACACTCAGAGTCATCCTCCCTTCCTCCTCTTCCAGGCCATCATTGACCACATGCACTTGAAGTGTAAATGCCACGGTCTGTCGGGCAGTTGCGAGGTGAAGACCTGCTGGTGGTCCCAGCCCGACTTCCGGGCGGTGGGCGACTATCTGAAGGACAAATACGACAGCGCCTCAGAGATGGTGGTGGAGAAGCACCGGGAGTCCCGGGGCTGGGTGGAGACCCTACGGCCCCGCTACAATTACTTCAAGGCCCCCACAGATCGGGACCTGGTCTACTACGAGAGCTCGCCCAACTTCTGCGAACCCAACCCCGAGACGGGCTCCTTCGGCACCAGGGACCGCGCCTGTAACGTCACCTCGCACGGCATCGACGGTTGTGACCTCCTCTGCTGTGGCCGCGGCCACAACACCAGGACGGAGAAGCGCCGGGAGAAGTGTCACTGTGTCTTTCACTGGTGTTGCTATGTCAGCTGTCAGGAGTGTACCCGGGTCTACGACGTCCACACGTGCAAATAGAGCTGGCCTGGCCCGGGGAGCAGGGTAGGGGGAGCTGCATCACTGCGCACTGGCGGGGAAGGTGAACTGGGGGATGCTTCTTATCCTCCCTCCCGCCCCTCCCCACCCCAGGGCCCCAAAGAGAAAGAGGTCATAGAATTTAGAGCTGGCCGGGACCTCTGACGTCATTTAGTCCAACAACCTCATTTTACAAAAGAGGAAACTGAGGCCCAGAGAGGGGAGGTTCACACTGGTAGTAAGGGGCAGAGCTGGGATGGAAACCCAGGTTTTCAGACTCTGTCAAGCAGCTGTTTTGTGGGGCCACACTCTCTGTATTATCAAATCAGGCATGAGGGCACTCTGGAAAGTATTTTTGTTGTTGTTGTTGGGGTTGGGGGTGGGGTGTCATCTGGACTGTGTCCTGGTATGGAAACTCCCCTCCACTGGTGCAGATCAGCAACTCATCTGCAACTTATTGTCTTAGAGAGCTGCCTGGCAGCACTGAGAGGTGGTGTCACACTGAAAAGTATAAAGTTACACAAACATGAGGTCCTGATATTGTAGGATCCTTCATAGGAAAAAGTAGGATCATAGGATTTAGAGCTGGAAGGGACCTGAGAGATCATCCAGACCAACCCCCTCATTTTACAGAGGAGGAAACTAAGGCCAGAGAAAGGAAGTGACTTGCTCAAAGTCACACAGCTAATAAGTAGTACAAGTCAGGACTTGAACCTGGGCCCTCTAACTCAAAATCCAGCATCCTCTCCATTTTATCACAATTGCCTCACGTACCTTGGGAGCTGGGGGCAAGAAAGAAAACAAGGCAGAGGTCTTGGTGGACCAGTCTACTAAAGGGGTAAATGGCCAACAGGTAAGGGACAGGACTTTCCCAGAGAAGAAGCTTGCCCTAATCTCTTATTGCTATAATTTCCACCCCTCCACGTCTGATAAGATCAAGGGTTCCCAAGAGTTCAGGAAAAGGATCCCTATTCTGCAAGTTAAGTGTGGGAGTGGTGGAAAGTCATACTCAGAAGGTTGTTTCTGCCCAAGGTCCATGTCCGCAAAGTCATATCCCTTTCCAATTTGTTTTGCTTGTCCCCAGAGGTCAGAATTAGGAACACATGGGGGAGGGGGAGAGAAGAGGGAACGTGGAGAGGAGAGTTGCAAGAAAGGCAGATTTCATCTCAATATAAGGGAAAATTTCCTAGTCATTAGAACTGTCCAAAAGGGGAATGGTCTACCTCAATGGAAGTCTCCAATTGATGACTACTTGTCAAATGTCATAAAAGGCAGTCCTTAGATATGAGCCAGATGGCTTGGAATGTCTCTTCCAACTCTGGTACTCTGTGAGCAGGCTAGGGGGTTGGGCTGGGGTGAAGATGTCAGTATCTTTTGGAACAGTTGGGAGAAAGAGTTCAGAAACACTGGGTGTCCTGAAGCCATAGCTGGGGGGTGGGTCATATGTTGGGGATATTGTAAAGAAAATGCCTGTTCAAGTCACTGCTGGCCCAGATGCCCTCTGAGGCACCTCCCATCTCTAAGATCCCAACACTGAAATGCTGTCATTCCAAAGCAAGACTTGACAGAAGTGTGGACCAGCTGGGATCCCAATCCACCCCAGCCCCGCACTGGGATTGCCAGAAGAAACCACAAGCATCACCATGAGACTAGAGACTTATGGTCATCCTCAGCTGGGCAAGGAGTCATGCCAGCTGGCTCACAGAACTACATCTCCATTCATTGCCACCAGAAAACACACTGTGTGTAAATTCATGTGCACACATGTGCCCACCAGATGCCTTCCATGGTCTGTTTGCCATTTAGGGAGGAAAAGGGAGGTTTCTTCTGTAGTCACTGGGGCAGGAACAGGTCAGGAATGGGTTCCAAGGTTGGGGCATGCCCATGAGAGCAAGATTTCTGTTAGGTCTTTCTGGGATGTGGAATTCTGACTTCTTAGGTCTTTACTGACCACCCTCAAGATCCAAGAGATGGCTCTATAGCCCTTTCCTTCTAAAAAGAAATGGAAATTTAACCCCTAGGTTTGGCACAGGCCCTCCTTAGTCATTCCTAGTTTTCCCCAAAGTGACTACCAGGGTTGATAGGGTTGAGGGGATTGTTTCTCCTGTTTTAGCTTTCTCTGCACCCCAACCCTGAGGACCCTATACCCCTCATTCCATGGCTACCTAAAACACATCGCTTGTCCTTTCTTCAAGGTCTTTCCACTTTCCCTGCCCTGGGTATTTCTCCCCAGCTTCAACAGTGTCACCTCCAAAGAGAGGTGGAGGAGAACTTGGCCAGTTGAGTATTTGCCCCAAAATCATTGACTTGAGACCATGCAATCCCCTTCCAATTCAGTAATTCAGTCATCCTCATTAAAGGCAGATTTAGTGTGAGGTCTCCCCTCCTTTTCCCATCCCCTAAAACAACTTGGTGGGTTGTACTCATCATGGAGAGTCACCAAGCTAAGACCTCTGAGATGGGATTATTATTCTCACCTCCCATCCCTGCAGTATTTCCTCCATGCTGCCACTCATCCCTCACCACCTCTGGTTTTTTTTTTTCTTGGAGAGGTCATTAGGCTCAGTGGGATAATCTGAAAGTCAAGTCCATCATGGATGCTGGGGGAAGGGGAGGAGGCATTTGTGTGTGCATGTGTGTACGTGTCGAGATGTCCTAGCTCTTTCATTTCTTCTCTTCCTTCTCTACTTTGATCCTGGCCTTGAAACAAATTCCCTGAAACCTCAACCTGACCAGGCAGAGGCTGGGGGGCAAAGCCATCTGGTGTGTGCGTGATTTGTGAGGTTTGATCCTTTGAGTGACATCTCCCTCCCTTGTTCTTCATCTGGAAAATGGAGCTAATGCCAAATTAGGTCTTTTCTTTAAGGCCTCAGTTTCCCCTGGATTTCCCCTCTGCTCTTGCACTCCCATCACTGATAAATGTGAAGCTGGTCCGTCTGACTTCCAGTTCTCTAGCTGGGACCCTGGCCCTTCCTGGTCAGGAATGGGGGCCAGGATTGGACCAGTAGGAGACATGCAGTTTGCAAAGAGAAAAATTTGCAGGCAATTGAGGGAGGGAGACAGAAATTCCTCTTCCTTTTTTATTTTAAACTTTTATTTTAAATGCTGCTATATCCACCATACACTGGAGCTAGACAAACAGACAAAATTTATTTTTTTTCTTTTCTTTCTATGAAAGAAATTGTTTTAGACTTAGCTTTAGGAAATTTTTAAAAGAAAAAAAAAAGAAATGTGAAGTTGTATGTTCATTGCCCAAGGTTCCAGGATCTCCCTGGAATGTGACAACAGTGGGAGTCCCTGGATGTCATCTGATAAAACTTCTGGGGAAGGGTAGGGCTTTCTGGGCCTTGGTGATGCTTGTGATCATTGGCTCACTGCTGTATGTGATAGGACACAATAACAGAGGAGATGGGCAGGCTTCTAAGCCCCCAACCTCTGTGGTCCTTAGCTGTTTTCCCACCCCCAATGGGGGAAAGGAAGATCAAGGCCATTCATTCTCTGTCCCATGCCTAAACCTTCAGAATCTGACATAATAGCGGAGGAGGGGGGCCCTGCCATTGAGAAGGGCATGGCCCTGGGAACCAACATAGAAAGGGGGTGGGGCAAGGTGGACTAGGTTCCCACATTTGGTATTAAGATTCCAGAAAAGTCTTCCTTAGGGCTTTCTCCAAGTCCAAGGATTCTGGATCTTGTGCATTTTCCTACCCAGTTCAGCTTCTGGCCTTAATTATCTCCAGGGGTCTAAGACCATGGGAAGCCAACAGAGCCCTGTGAATTAGCCCAATACCTTCTGCCTCACTATGTGACCTGGCCCTCTATGATATGGGGAGCTTCATCCTTGCCCTTCTGGGTTTCTTGGCACTGGTGGGATGCAAGATGAGACTCAGAGATGAGAATGTCTTTAGTAATTCAAGATATATTTCTCTTCTGCTAGCTCATGCCAAATCAATGTTGGGATGTCCCCAAGTGCAATGGGATACCTAAGGGAAGTAGTGAGCTTCCTACCCCTGGAAATCTGCAAGCAGAAGTAGGATGCCCACTGGTCAGGAATGTTATAGAGGGGAGACCAGGTAGACAATATTACCTCTGAGGTCCTTTTCAACTCTGAGATTCAATAAGACAATGTGTTTAAATGCCAAATGGTTTGGCTGAGATGACAGAGATGGCCAAGATTCCTGATGAGAAATGAGTGATCTACCGAGCTCCCCTTCCTGGTAAGTGCTCCCTCACAAAAAGGAGGCCCTCTTCTGGAGGGAGGACTTTTAGGAACCCGCTGCATCCTCAACCTCTTGTCTCGATTTGGCCATGTCTCTCCCTTCCCTGGGAGCTTTGGGCCCCAAGATGATCTGTTCCTTTGGCCTAAATTTTCAGGGGTAGCCTCTGGGCCTAAGGGGGAAAAAGCCTAATGCATCGTCTCACCCATACTCCTCATTGTCCTTTCCCTAAAACCCACAAGGGGACTCAAAACTGATCTGAAGTTTCCCTTGACTCCAGCCAGGACCTTATTAGTTTCTTCTGGGTGATAAGAAGTCATAGATATGGCCAACACAGGAGTCGCTGTTATCTTTTCCCAGGGCCTCCTTCCAGCCATTCCAATCTCAATTGTCTAGATCCCAACCTCCCAGAGAATCTTCTGTATCCTCCCTTTCCCTACATTACAGAGTATAATAATTCCTATTACTGTAGCACTTTAAGGTTTGCCAAGGACTTTCCTCACAATGACTGACCCCATCAGGTAGGTGGAGCAAAGATTATCATCCCCAATTTATAGATGAGGAGGCTAAAGATCAGAGAGGGAATTGATTTGCTCACGCTATTATTACTAAGTGGCCAAACTGGGGTTGAAATCCAGTGTCTCCTGACTCCAAGTCTATTGTTTTCATGACACCGCACTTAACAAATGTCAGAGCTGAGACGGGACCTCAGAGGTCATCTGGTCCAACACCCTCATTTTACAGAAAAAGAAACTGAGTCCCAGAGAAAGGAAGAGCATTGCCTAGGTCACATAGCCAGTCAGTGGTAGAGCCGGGTCTTGGACCCATATTTCCTGACTCCCAGTCCAGGGCTCTTTACACCAAAGTCTCTCCCATAACAGATAGGCCCTTTGTTGTGAATTGGGCTCCGTGCACTGCTCTTTCCCTGTGTCTAAAAGTACTACGCTGTCTCATTTTTCCCTAACCCCTCTGCCTCATCCAGCCTGGTATCCCCTGGTTTCTATATCCATTGGTCATTTCTTCTGTTTGTGGCTTTTTGTTTTTACAATTATTTATTTGACAGACAAGCGTCTTCTGTATTAGGGAGCGTTTATATTTGCAGAAGGTGGTGGGGAATCAAGAGAAAGGGGAAAGGTTTCCCCATCCTCCAAGGGTTTTCCTATCACCACCGCTCACCCACCAGGACATCGGTGATGGATT